CCGGTGCCATCCTCGCCTCCGGTGCCGCTCGCGGCGCTCTCGAGCACATCAAGGGCGATGCCTCTTGGCGCCTGATCACCTGGCTCCAGTGCCTCTTCTCCGGCCTCATCTGCATTTTCGTCTGGTTCATCCCCGAGTCGCCCCGTTGGCTGTACGTCAACAACAAGCAGCAGGCCGCCCGCGACATGATCACCAAGTACCACGGTGAGGGCAACCCCGACTCCGCTTGGGTTACTCTCCAGATGAACGAGTACGAGGAGCTCCTTGACATGAACGGTTCCGACAAGCGCTGGTGGGACTACAGCGCGCTGTTCCGCAACGGCGCTTCCCGCTACCGTCTCTTCTGCAACGTCGCCCTGTCCTGCTTCGGTCAGTGGGCCGGCAACGCTGTCCTGTCGTACTTCCTCGGCGCCGTCCTCGTCACCGCTGGCTACTCCAGCGCCATCGCCCAGGCCAACATCACCCTCATCAACACCTGCCAGCAGTTCCTCTGCGCCATTGCCGGTGCCACTCTGGTCGACAGGGTCGGCCGTCGCCCTCTCCTGCTCTTCTCCTTCTCGTCTGTCACCGTCATCTGGGCTGGCATGACCATTGCCTCTTCCATCGTTGCCAAGTCTCAGACCGGTGTCGACGAGAACAACACTCCCATCTACAACGACCCTGCTGCCTCCAAGGCTTGCCTGGCCATGATCTTCCTCTTCGGCTCCTTCTACTCCGTTGGTATCACACCCCTTCAGGCTCTGTACCCCGTCGAGGTCCTCTCCTTCGAGATGCGCGCCAAGGGCATGGCCTTCTCCAACCTGGCTGTCAACGCCGCCGGTCTTCTCAACCAGTTCGCTTGGCCCGTCTCCATGGAGACCCTTGCCTGGAAGACCTACATCATCTTCACCATCTGGGATGTTGCTCAGACCGTCATCATTTACTTCTACCTGCCTGAGACCAAGGGCCGCACTGTAAGTTTCTCCTCTTCTCCTCCATACCTATGCGATATACTGACAAGCCAATCCAGCTCGAGGAACTCGACGAGGTGTTCGCCGCCAAGAACCCGGTCAAGCACTCTCTCCAGAAGAAGGAGATTGCCGTCGACGCCCACGGCGACGTCGTCAACGTCCAGAACGTTTAAACGCTCTCTGCGACGGAGATTCTCATGCAGAAAAGAAGAAAACAGCGAAGCGAGCGCGTTCTTTACCACCCCCACGCGTTGGCAACCTATTTGGGCTGCCACGTTTACACTGCTTTATAATGTCACGAGAGATGGATGCCGGAGGATGATTCTTGAGTCGATGTGGCACTGTCTGGGAGGTCTGAGACTCACGGTTTCGTCTGCCACGATGGAATCATGCGAACGCTCTTTCCGAACAACTTTGCCGGCGGCTAGCTAGCTAAATACCACTTTGCGCTACGCTGAAGTCTTTTGCATTCTATGGTGACTGTTTGTGATGATGGACGTGAGGACCTGGCTAACAACTCGACTACATTTTTCTAAGCTGATAGTCGGACCGTATTTTCAAACGACATGGATGTCTTATCCAAAGTAGATGGCAATGTCGCTAACGGACCAATTTAACGTGCAGCCTCTCAGAGGAACATGTCGATCTTTACCCCTATCTCGAGGGTAAAGTACTGAGTACGTTCAGTCGTACCCAGCGTGGTTGGCTGCGGCGAAAGGCTTGGTATTGCTTCGCCTCTGGGCTACATCAAGTGTGGTGGGCTAGCGCACCCCTACGATGAGCCTGTACGCGGGATGGTCTCAGTTATGTCCTTGGGGCGAATATTTGTCGTTCCGACCGAAGCACTCTGGGCGGAAGCCTAAGCCAACGAGCCGGTTGCTGTTATTGCGGGCTGATTTCTTCGGAGGCGCGGTCGCTGGGCAAAATATCCGTGGCAAAGTACTTCCTTCATCTGTACGAAAACGTTGGTGGTCAACAATGTGTTGTTCGCGATTCGAGCCGGCATCTCGATCCCGAACTGATTCGCTATGAACCAGTAGGCTTTTCATTTGCGTTTCATTGGCGCTTGATCTTTGACCGTTATTGTCATTGAAGGTAGGCTCTGGCCCATGGTATGATGTTCTGTTATGGTGTCGCAAACACAACCAAACTGGTTCCCATCATCCAGTCAACCCCCCGTTCCACTGAACGAACGAGGGACATCGCGTTCTGGTCTGGAGGCTCCCTTCTGTCGGTGGGAGATTGTCACCGCAAGTAACTACCGGCCTGTCTCTAGAGCTAGTGTTCACGACTTGAGTTTTCATGACTTGTCTGTGTTGCAGAGTGAATTCATTGACAGCGGCCCAATGCAGGACAGTAGGTTGCCGGTCTTGCTTTCTTTCCCATTGAGGTCATGGTAGATAGCCGTCGCATTGGCATCAGCTGATCAAGGCCATGCTCGCGCTGCGTGGTATCGTCCAGGAAAACGACTGCTATGGCGACGTTCTCCATACACGGACGTGGCGAACTGGAACGGAAAAGCTTTAGAGGCGGCCTTGAGCCTTTGGCAAACTTGGGGTGAGCTTTTTCGCAGAGTACAAACCGCGCAGCCCGATCCAACCTCCTGATGATTCAATTTGAAATACGCCGACAACATGAGACTGGTCGTGTCATTTCCAGAAAACATGGGACACTCATACTTGCTAGATGGTTTGTGCAAACGGGACGCGAGTGAGTCAGGCACGATTATGACGGGTAGCTATAGGTTGAGGGTAAGGGAATAGCAGCGTCCAGGTCAATGGCACTTGGCTGAACCCACATGATGATCAAGTCGATGAATGGTGGATAAAAACGGCCGCCAGCTGAGCTTTTCTGTTCAGCGCTCGCTTTCGCGTACTATGTGACGATTTGCCCTAACTAAATCATAGTGAGCGGGCATATTTGGGGACCCGGCGCTTCCGCCGAGTGGAGGTCTTGAGAGTCTGTCGAGCAAGCCAGAGCGCAGGTGGCTTGTGGGCATCTATGGGAATTGTTACTCGAAGAAGCAATCCTCAGGCCCTGGACTGTGAGCTGGACCGAGATGAAAACAACACTGGAAGGGAAAGGGTCGTTTCTCCGCCTTGGCGTTCGATACAGCGGACCAATGCTTGCGTTGCGCCAAGGCATGGCATTGCGGACCGTGTCGCGGTGCGGGCGCCATCACGCGGGGTTCTGTCAGGCTCCTCACTCCACAAGGGATGGCTGGCTGCCGCCGGTGGAGGAGGGGGGTGTGCAGGCGCTTTTGGCGTCTGGGACTTTACGGGCCAGGGGTCTCGACATTGTTAGCATGATTGCCGGCCTGGTCGACGGTCTGCGCCGCTCGTCTGCTATTTGACCGAGGAACAAGAGGAGGCCCCCTGGGTAAGGTGAGGTGCGCCATAAAGAAGATCATCATATGGCGACAGAGTGAGAGCGACTGAGAGAGAGGACTCATGATAAGACGGGCCAGATCAATCCGGCGGAAGGGAGTTCGTGGGGCAGTTGATCGGGGGTCACAATATCGCCGTAAAATGTCTAGCCACTATTTGCAGTGTTGGGAGCGAAAATAAGCTTCTTTCCCCAAGTAGTTCGATCGGCGAAGACGGACAGGAGAAAGATTAGCACTATGTAACGTCAAATATAATAATCCACCCGCTGAAGTTCTCCCATTCTATCACGAGATTCATTGCTACATGTTACAACATAATAGTGAATCTTGCGAGCATGATGGGGCTCGGACTCGTGTGCTAAACAGCGAGCGTTTGACTTCGCTGCAGCACCATCAGTACTGACTAATGTGAGGATTTGGCTTCAGCTTGATGAGCTCTTCATCCCAAAACCAGGGATCACATTGAAGAGCATTCCTTACATAGGGGGACCGTTCCCACTCAAAATGAGGCTATGCTATTGCTCAGCGGCATCGCAGTACCTGCTTTCACTGACTACATTACTCGTGCCCTGGGACACAATCAATTCGCTGCCTCAGCGCATGGTGTTTCACGTTGGCACAGGCCAGATTCAATCAAGCGCCGTGGATCTCGTTCACTATCTCACCAGATTAAATACTGAGGGGACAAGGCTACGAGGTTTGTAACTGGCGGAAACTCTCCAAGCATCCACGGGCAAGCTGCACGAAGATATCGCGAGGCGTAATAAACCATGGCCTGCAAAGGTCCTGCTGCCCCTTCGACGAGTCAGCGATATTGGGGGGCTTCTTGGCTCATCACTAATGAAAGAGATGCTGTTCTGCAGAGTCATGTGGCGGACGCCGTGGAAAAGCCATAAGAACTGATTCTGGCCACGTAGTTTGATAGCCGTTGTCTGCGTCTGGAATCTACTCCGATCATCACAGACGTCCTCTACACGACTCACAATGCATCTTCCCAGTCTTTCCGTTCTGGTAGCCCTCGTCAGTATATCAGCCGCACTTCTCACATGTACAGAGCTAACTTGAATCTCAGGCCCTGGGCTGCCACACCGTTGCCGCTCAGGACTGCAGAGGCAACGTTTCCGCCATGTGGCGCTGCTTGCGCCCTGACAACAGCAACTCAGGTTACACCAGCTCGTGCTGTCCCCGTACCAACAGTTTCATGGAAAACGGAGCTGTAAGTTTGTGCAACTCTCGCGGCTGTCGAGCGGGACTGACGATTCACCAAGTGTTGCACCACAACTGGCGAGCCTTCCAGTCGTGCTGTGTGACGCACAACGGCTACAACGGCGGCAACGGCTAGAGGATTGAAGAGGGATAAGGTATTGCACGATGGGAGCTAGAGTAGTGTAGGCCAGAGAGGAGCAATCACATTCATTGTGGGAACGGTTCTGCGGGACATAAGTATGTGTGAATTGACTATGACCGGCTCCGCACAGCGAGGCCGGATGTACTTTTGCTACTGCTACCATGTATTCGTCCCTCAGAAACTGGACCGCCTTCCAGAATCTTGGTTTGCTGTCGAGGGACGTGTCTGTGACAGGCTTCTGGCGTATGCATCGAGGGTGAGGCTTCGTCGGGAAGCAACGAAGACCTTGCGCCGGGGACGTGTGAGGCGAAACTTCTTAGAGCGCCTCGAAGGTCTTCTTGAAAGAAGCATCAAGGTCCTTCTTGTCGCTCTCGAGACCCTTCTTGCAGGTGGGGACAAGATCGATGATGCCGAAAGTGAGCTTGTCGACACCGCCCTCGATGGTGCGGAGGACCTTGGTGATGGGAGCGGTGAAAGGGGTGCCGGAGAGGAAGCTGCTCTTGCCAATGATGGTGTTGAGAAGGGCCTGATGAACACGGACAAAGTCGCGGAACACCTCGCACACCTGGTTCTGCCCGTCCGCGGGGAAGGGCTTGGACTTGTCGGCTTCGGCAATCATGGTGATGTCGGTGCGCACGGCGACAGCGATCTCACGGATGTTGTCGAGGGCTCTCTGTGAGACAGGTCAGACAAACCATAGTTTGTGCGAAGCGCCCATCGGACTTTGCAGTAACTTACTGGGATTACGGAGAGAAGGTTATTGAAGCTCACGTCGGTCAGGATGTTGTTGGCATCCTGGGACAGATCGGTGACGGCCTCGATGCTCTTGACAACGGTCTGAGGGGTCAGCTCGCTCTTCTGAGCGGCGACGAGGCCGGCGAAGGCGGTAGCGATGGTGAGAAGCTTGAACTGCATGGTTGCGTTTCTGAGACTTTGGAACCGGGCGACTTGGTAACGTGCAAGAGACTTGAAGAGAGGGGTGAGGTGCTGATGATGTGTGGGTGCTAGAGGTCCTTTGAGGTTTGTGAGCCCAACCAACTATATATATTCATTTCAATATCTACAAGACTCAGTGGCTGAACATGATATGTGGACTTGCAGCTATCCATAGCACATGCTGGATGTGCTAGGTTGTGATCAGTGACTGGTATGTCCAGGCCTGGTTGATCGCTGAAGGATGATATCATGACGGGGTTAACCCATTCCACAGTATTGCGACAGAAACAACTGAGATACTGTGTGCCTGTTTGTGCACTTGGGTAGGGAGCCTTGATCTATCTTACTAAGACGAGCAGCGGCTGGACATCGTGACGGACATCTGGAGTGGATGAGACAGCGTGCTTCTTTCTGCAGGTCAAAGCTCAATTCGCGCCCTGAGGATTCCACGTATTCCTGCATGATTTCCAAATCTGTACCTGGATCGGTGCGGAGCGGGCCGGTGTTCAAGCACCATTGCATTCCACAGGGCAGGGGGAATATGGATCATCACTAGTTCTGCCGAGACTTAGGGATATGGGGTAGCATCAAAAGAGGGCCTCGTGTGCCCTCGCAACCCCAGATGGCCATGCGTCTGATCAAGAGATCTCCGATCTTCCACACGCGCGTTGATCCGTGGGAGACGTGCATGTTGCACTCAACTGGACAGACCCAGACAGATGAATGCCTTGACTCCGGCACCCACTTAACCGAGGGGCGGCCGGCCTCGTGTCGAAGCTTCATGGCGTGCGCGAAGCTTATTTGTGATTGAGTGGCGGGTCGACTGAAATTCGGATGACGGAGCGTGAAGGGGAGGACGGATGGACAGTGGCCGATCAGGGAATGCTAAACTTCACAGCAGCGCGTGATACGCAGAGAGGGGACGTGCCTCTTTCCTATTGTACCAGGGCTACTTTCTACAGTCTGACAGGGGAGACCAGCATCAAGACGTGAGCCCAAGGAAACAGACGAGACGCGGCCAGTTGTGTCTGCAGGTAAAAGATACCTGGTAGTGGTGATGGTGGTGGTGGGTGCTCTGCGATGAGTTCTACCGCCATTTTCGTCGCATCGCATCGCACGGAGACAAAGGATACTGAAACGGACACAAGGGGAACGAAAGTTCAATGCTAATGACACCTGAGGCGCGGCTATTCACCTTTTGCGAGTGAGGTCTGCGCCATGCGTAGCCCGCATGGGAGGCGACAGAGACACTGAAAGCTGTAATGAAGCTTCTCCTGAAGTCGGCGATCTGGATCCCTAGGCCATCCATGCTGAGCGAGGACAGCAGAGAGCAATGCACGCAGCAGTCAGTCTCGGGCTATCCTTGGATACTTTATCAGCAAGAAGAAAGAAACCAAGTGGAAGACCCTCTTATCCCTAACCTCGAACAGTGCAGAATGACTCGGGCATTGAGGCCTTGGAGCGAGCCTGGATGGACGCGAGGCCAGCAAAAGGTAGAGCAGCCCAAGCTGATGATGTCAGCCGCCCCATGCTCGGCTTCGTTGAGCTGTTGAGCTGTGCTTAAACACTCCCCACCCCGCTTCCTGATTGCGGATCGCTGGATCAATCGAAAGGTTGACTCCGACTTCCCTCCTGCGATTCTTCAACCCACATCCGCAACGTCCAACTAAGAATCACGGCAACACGGACACCGGCGCACAGAGGAAGCGATCCCTTCGGCAACTCGTGCCCGATGTTGAACGTTCGACCGCGGCACCTGGCTCTCGCTGTCCCCGAATGCGATGCGTGGGATGCGACACCTACAGTTGACGCCTCCATCGATACATCGTAAGAAAAACGACCCCGCCGAATCGAGGACCAAAACCCACCACACGACGCGCCAGGCACGCCCGAATTCAGAGGCCGCCATCTCAGGCTGTGCGCGATCACCATGGGATCCCCGGATTCCTCGCAGGCGATGGAGCCGTCAGCGGAAGCCGCCGAACCACCGTCAGGTGCCCTCTCGCGCCATGGCACCACAACCTTCTCCCCCGAACAGGCCGTCGCCCTGACCTCCTCCGGAGCGCCGTTGCTGAACCCCCGAAGCTGCGTTACCTGCCGCCGTCGCAAGGTCCGATGCGACAAACAAATGCCGTGCTCCAATTGCCGACGCGCATCCGCGCAGTGCGTCTTCCCCGCGCCCGGCCGCGCGCCGCGGCGACCCAAGCCCCGCGACCCAAACGCCCCGTCCAAGGGCTCCAGTGAGCGAGAATTTGAGCTCATGAGGCGCCTGCGAAAGCTCGAGGGTATCGTCGAGGACCTCAGCGGGCAAATCGAGGTGGAAACCGCGAGCAGCGAGCCTAGACCTCTCAGTGCTGGCACGTCGCCGGGAACAGCAGCGCTGGCGCAACAAGATATGAACGCCGCGGCGGCACGCGCCGGATCGGGCAGCGCCGGGTCTCCCTCCTCGGCGAACGGCACCAGCGCCGTTCCGTCCATGCGAGAGGTCATGGCGCGCCGAGGCGCCGAGGCTGATAGCGAAGCTGCGCAGGGGTTGGAGCGGAAGCAGTCGGCGAGCGTCACGAAGCAGCTCGGACGCTTGGTCCTTCATGACCAGGGCAGAACAAACCGATACGTGAGCAGTGCGTTCTGGTCCAAGC